CGCATATATATGTCCTTTTGTGACTGACTTATTTCACTTAGCATAATATCTTCAAGGTTCATTCACGTTGTAGCATGTGTCAGAATTTCTTTTTTTTTTTTTAGGTTAATAGTTCATTGTGCATATATGCAATTTGTTTATCCATTTATCTGTCAATAGACATTGGGTTATGTATTTGTTTGTTCTTACATTGCAATATAGAAATACCTGAGACTGAGTAATTTATTTTTTAAAAAGTTTTAGCTGGCTCATGATTCCACAGGCTGTACAAGAAGCATGATATTAGCATCTGCTCAGCTTCTGGGGAGGCCCCCAGAAAACTGACAATTATGGCAGAAAGTGAAGGGGGAAGCCAGGCATGTTTTAGATGGCAGAAGCAGGAGCAAGGGAGGGCGAGGGGAGGTGCCACACACTAGAACAGCACCAAGGTGCTGGTGCTAACCCATTCATGAAGGATCCACCCCTATGATCCAATCACCTCCCACCAGGTTCCACCTCCAAAAACTGGGGATTACAATTCAACGTGAGATTTGGACGGGAACACAGCGTTCTTCTGAGCCCTCCATATTTTTTCAACCTCTGCCTGTTACCCAATTCCAAAGTTGCTGCCACCTTTTCAGGTATCTTTATAGCAATGCCTCACTCCTGGGTACCAATGTTCTGTATTAGTTTCTTCCCACATTGCTACAAAGCAATACCTGAGGCTGGGCAATTTATAAAGAGTTTTAATTGGCTTATGTTTCCAGGATCTGTACAGGAAGCATGATGCTGACTTCTGCCCACCTTCTGGGGAGGCCTTTGGAAACTCACAACCATGGAGGAAAGCAAAGGGGGAGCAAGGCATCTCATACAGTGGGAGTAGGAGGAAGCGGGGGGTAGGAGCTACACAATTTTAAACTGCTAGATTTGGTGAGAACTCGCTCCCTATACAATACCAAGCTAAACCTTTGGTGAGAAATCCACCTTCATCATCCAATCACCTCCCACTGGCCTCTCTCCACTGCTGGAGATTACAATCTGACATGAGATTTGGTGAGGGGACAGATCCAAACCATATCAGCTTGTTTCCACCTGTTTAATATTGTGAATAGTGCTACTATGAGCACGGGTGGGCAGATACCTTCTCAGACATTGGTTTCAATTCTTTTGGATCCGTATTTAGAAGTGGGATGCTCTCCAGCATCTTTTATTCATGTACAGTCAGCAACACTTTCATTTCCCCACATTGTCTGTTCACTCACCTCAAACCATCTACTCTATTCTACATTCATGCCTTCTTCCATTAGGGGACGATGAAAACATCCGGGAGTAATTCTCTCAACTTCCTCTCCCCCTGCGCCTTCCATTATATCTACATCCACTCACCCTTACCTTCATTTCCATCTTCCACTTTTTACAGCCTATATCTTTCTCTTCTCATCCCTTTCTGTCTCTTTTGGGACAACTGTCCCTTCAGTTAGACCCTCTCTCATCACTGGCTCCTTCGTTCCACCTACAAACATCCCGAAGCCAAGACCTGCTGAACTGCATATGATAGAAATCCATCTCACAATGGCTTAAACAAAAAATGAATTTTACTATATTACATGACAGAAAAGGCCAAGGGTGTAGTGGGCTTTTGTTGAAACAGGAATAGTCAAAGCAGGCCTTCAGGAATTTCTTCTTCTGCTTTGCCTTGCTGGCTTCATTCTCTGGAAGAAACTCCCTAAAAACTGGCAAAATATTTGCTGACAATATCAAGTGGACATCTCATCAGCTTACAATTCCAGTACAAAGAGTGTCTCTTGTCCAATAAGTCATTCAAAAGTCCCTTCAGTAGCTCTCATTGTCCAAATAGGGTCACATGTACCCAAAGGAACTAGGAGTAGGACAGTGAAATAAACAGAGGGCAAGACCTGAGTTGCCTCCCAGCCTTGGAGATGGGGGTAGGGTTGGACTACCTCAGTGGTTCTCAGGTGGGATGATTTTGCCCTCCCAATGACATTTGGCAGTATCTAGAGACATTTTTGGTTCCTACAACTGGAGAAGGGAAGTGCTACTGGCCTCTAGCGGGTAGGGGCCAGGGATACTGCTAAACATCCCCAAGGCACAAGGCAGCCCTCCAGAACAAAGAATTATCTGGTCCAGGATGTCAATAATATTGAGGTTGACAAACCATAGTCTTCCTGAATCACAGTGAACTATAGGAAAGAGGGAATTTCCCAGAGGAAAAATCTAGGGGCAAATCCCAGAAGAATGGACCCATTTAGAGCAACAGATATCCACCTTCCCCTCAGTCTAAAAACAAATCTTCCCCGAAACCACCTATGTTTCTCTTTTGAACTATCTCTCCACCACCAAATTTTCTGAAAGAGTGATTGACCTTGGCTGTCTCAACCATCGTAGTCATTCATTCAAGAAATTATGGAACCGCTTCTCTGTGCTAAGCATCAATTTAGGTCATGAGATTTGGCAGTGATGAACTGACATGTCCTCATGCGGCTTTTATTCTAGTGGGAGAAACACACAATAAGCAGATTTTCTGATGGTAATAAAATGAAAAAATGATAAGTACAGTTTTTCATCTATATAAAATAGGCAAAAAGGAAAGGAAGTTCTGAAGTAATTGCAATTTTAAATAGTGGCCAAGGAGGGCTCCTTCAAGAAGGTCTCATTTGAGCCAAAGAATCAAGGAGCTGAGGTAGTACCCATGCAGAGAGACACCTAAGCAAAGAGTATTCTAAGCAAAAGGAATATTAAATGGCAGGGGAAAACAAGAGAAAAATATACCTGCTGTACTTGGAGAAATAATTTGTTTGCATGCTGATGGTAAAATCCAGCAGAAAGAGGGGTATGATAATCCTGGAGAAAGTGAGAATTGCTGGTTTCCTTGAGTGAGTGGGAGCAAATTGATTCTAGGGCACAACTGGAGAGATCACCCTTAGAGAGGACTGTAAGCAGTGCACACTAACAGGAGAGAAGGAGGTTACATAGGCCAAATACAAGAATTTGGGTGGAGTGATGGTAGAAAATTGTAGATCTCTTTGATTGTTTCTATTTTCTCTATTAAAAAAAAGAAGCAAAGCTATTCACAGAGATTAAGAATGTTGGAGATGGTGTCAGAAAGAGATGTCAACATAAAAATATGCAATAGTCATTTAGGAGAATGGGAGAACAAATGGGTTAGACAAACAGTGGGAATAGCAGGCAGAAGGATAATGGTCCATTTGAAATTATTTGTCACTAAAGTAAGGCTCGTCATGGTGAATATGTGTCTTCTCCAGCCACATTCAGTTTCATGGGTAAGGGAGCAAAATAATGGAGAATTTATTCTAACCAGGATTGTTTTGTCTAATGCCTATAATAAAGCAAGAAAGGGGTGAGGGAGCTGAAGGTGGATTTAAGATGGTGATTATAATGACAGAGTATGGAATTTAACCTGGTGGGGATGAAATTGAAGACACAAAGGGGATGAGAGGCTGAGAGAGATAGCAGTAGGAGCAATGGTCTGCAGGCACTGAGAAACACAAAGATTGCTGGATTCAGTTCAATGGCACTGGGGTAAAAGACAAGAGTAGTATTGGTGGTTAGAGAGTGGGATCATTGAAATCATCGAGGGTTGCAGTGAAGGTGACAAGTTTCAGAGCATGCACATAAGCATAAGTGTCAGGAGAGTGGAGGACAAGACCATAGACAGAGAAGAGGTCAAGGCACTGGAAGGCCAGGGATTTGTAAATGCTATTGCTGTGAATGTTGAAATGACCAGGAGCTGTGGCAGGAGTAATAGTGGAGAAGGTGGCCATGAGCTGGGAGCTAAAACCTTCAAGGAATAAGGGGAGAAAGTAGATACTAGAAGATGGATACCAGCAGAAGTGGTAAGGATTGACACCTTCTGCTAGCATGTGATCTAAAACTAGGGAACTGAGCCTTCTCTTATTCTCTTTTCCTCAGCCTACTACAATCTGTTCTTCTCCCATTAGTCTGTTGACAGCAATTTGAAAGGATGATAGCAAATCCCTAAAAGAATGGCACTGGATGCACTAAACAGTGTGATAAGTGATATGAGCAAAGTAGACGTTTCTTCCAGAATCTTGGGAGAAAGCCGAATGGAAATCAATGTGCACAGAAAGACAAATCCTGTGTGGTAGCAATCATCTGTGGAATCCAACACGGCTCATCTTATAGACAGAGACGGTAGAATACTGGTTACTAGAGGCTGCGGAAGGGAGGGACAACGGGAGATGGAGAGAGGCTAGTTAAAGGGAACAGGACACAGAGACATAGGAGGAATACACATCCTTCATTTTAACCCTCTACCCGAAATCTGCCATTCCTCCATCCATATTTCTTATTACAATAAGTAGCACCACCATTCATTTCTAATCCTGGGGCTAACTCTTGATTGCTTTCTTCTCACCACCAACCTTAAGAAAGGAAGAAACCAAAATCCAACACATGAGCGACTATTCATTCCATCTCCAATATCTTTAATTGTCCACTTCATAAATTCAGTCAGGGCCGCCATCAAACCTCGCTCGGATGTTGGCAAAAGCCCCCTGACTGGTCTCCCCTGTCCATTATTGCCCTAATCTAGTCTCCATACTATACACAGATTTATATGTTGATTCCCTTTTTAAAAATCCTACAATGGCATAACATCTCAATTCAAGATAAGGAAATGAGTTCTTCACATTCCCTCTACACTGTACACATCGCCTGGAATTTCTTCGACACAGAGAGTGAGCAGGCATTTCATTAGCTGACCGTCCCACACACATTCTTGCAAAGAGGAAACGTCTAGCAGGGTGTTTGGAGCTGTTACACAATGTAACAGCTGCCGTCATCCACAGCTTTGTCTGGAAGCGCAGGGGCTCGCACGTGGGATACGTCGGAAGCCCAAGCAGGGTCCCGCTTTGCTGCCGCACCTGGGTCCGCAAGGTGGGCTCTGCGAGCGAAACTCGCTAGAAACAATGCAAATGGGAGTAAACATGACCTCGCCCATAAGGGGAAGCGGTCAAAAAGCATTTTGTCCCGGAACCCCGCAATCCTCCCCATATTCTGGGCGCGGAGCACAGCGATTGGTCACTCCTGTTTTCGCTGCGCTTTTCCTATTTCAATTTTCTTCGAGATCAAATCTGCTTTCCAGATGTGCTTGGGGAGGATGGTGGCCTCTTCTGCGAGAAGCCCAGAGCCTATGGAGCCGCCGGCGCCCCGTCTCCCCTTCTGCTGCGGAGGAACCCCGCTGGCGGTTGTGGTGCTGCTCGCGCTGCCAGTGGCCTGGGGTGAGACGCGGGCGGGCGTGGGGAGGCGCCCGGGTGGACCAGGCACCCGGGGCGCCACAGGGAACTCGCGCTCTGCGCTGCGCGCCTGGGTCCGAAAGCAGGTCGATGGGTGGACTGAGCGCGAGACCCGGCAGGGCGGCGGATCTGGGATCCTTCTGCGCACTGGAGACTCTCGCTGCTTCTGGGTAAGCGTGGAGTTCCCATGTGCAGGAGCTTAAGTCGTGCCCAGCGCAGAGGAAGGCGCAGATGCTGAGCTGGTGCCGCACGGAGGTCCTTGCCCTTACGTATTCATAGTCTAGGCTGGCTATAACCCAGCATGGCGTTGATCCTAGTGAAAGGGGACGTGGGGATCCGACAAACCTGAGTTCTGGTCCTAGAAACTTAACTGTGTGGCAAGTTAGCACACCTAAGCCTGTTTGCTCTTCTGTAAAATGGGGACACTGATCTCTGCATTGCAGAGTTGCTGCCTCAATGACATCAAGTCTGTCGAGTGTCTAACTCAGGGCCTTGCCCTAGTCCATTTCTATCCTCCAACCATTACCTCTTCACTTCGCTTCCAATGGTGTTCAGACAAGGAGTCCTAGGGATGCAGGTATTGCCTGAAAAGTGGCCTGCATGGGACTGTTCTGGTCACTCGCCCCAAGCCACCACCGCCATCATCACCATGCACCTGACCGCCTACTTTAAGACAGAGCCATGCCAGGCACTTGGGAGTTAGAAGAGCAAGGGAAGCCCGGGAACACACAATGTAACAGCTGCAGGTAGAAGGGAACAATAGATGTGTTTACAGTTTACATTTTAGTGATGTGTTTAGTACAAAATAAAGCCTATTATAACTATGGAAATTCTGAAACCACATCTCTTCCTTTTTCTTAAGTTCAAGTAGGTAAACATCTTCAATTCGAACCCTTCTATTGTTATTTTGGGGGCTCCGCAGAAGTCTTTTTGGTTGCCTAGACTCACTGGAAACACGTCATTTGAAGGGACAGTATTTGTTTTTGTCTAGCCTCTTCCTGACAACTCAGCGTTCACCCTTCTCTGCAACTAGACGTTTTGCATTTATTATTTGAGTGTTCCTTCTTCTCTAAAAGAGTAAGAAAAAAAGAAAACCAAATTTCCCACAAGAGTTGTTGTTAATATTTGATCTCATTAGACACCAGAAAGTACCCTGTCAGGTGAAGAAATATGATAAAACTTACAATTTTATTTTTAGGAGAGAAGCATCCCCAGTAAGTTAAGCAATCGGTTGTCCATGCTTAGGAATTTGTGTCATCCTTGTGAGCACTGGCCCTCTTCTTACTAGAATGTTGTTTCAATTTGCTTACCTTGGTTAAGTTACCATTATAAACAATCCCAGACACTGTTAATTGCAAACAAAAAAATTTACTGATGTTATCACAATAACCTCCAGATGTGAAACAGCCTAAACTACCTAGAAATTTTGTTGCTCAAGTAATTTAAATTTTAAAATGCTGATGGACGCTTGCATTGTTCACGTCCTTTAGTATTTAAAAGAAGTGTAAGAGTAAGAGCTTTGTACCCAATGTGTATCCATAGAGAAATAGGTGGTGGAGTTTTATGAAATCTACTTATTAGGAAGCCAGCGTTCTAGTTTTTCCAGGCTCTGTTACTTACCAACTGGGATCTTGGACCCAGCAAGTTAAGTCACATGACTGACCTTCAGTGTCCATGGGTATAAAACAAGCATAACTGACATCCTGATATCTGAGAGGGGTATTGTGAAAATCAGGTGGGGAGTGCATGTGACAGTGTTTTGTAATCTGAAAACCCCATGCATGTCTGAGAAGCGGTGACTAAGGAGTCATGCAAGACCGCAGCATCCCTGAAAAGGGAGAAATCTCAGCTTCTGCGATAAGGAAACGGTGAGGGAAAGGCATATGGCTTTACTAGTACTTAAAGAGTGAATCCAGAATCAGGTCGCAAAGGACAGTTCATGGGGATATTTATTTTTGTATAAAAATAGCAGAGGAATTAGGATAGTTTTGTTATTATAAGTTACGCTACTCGTGAAGTGGTATAGTACTATTTGAAAGATAATTTAGATTAGCTGCAAATAGATACTGCAAATGTGAGACAACCAATGAAAAAAGTGGGAAAAAAGTATAATTTATATGCTGCTAAGGAAGAGGGAATGAAATGCATCATATTAAATGCTCAGTTAAAATAATAAGAGGGCCAGCTATGGTGGCTCACACCCATAATCTCCAGCACTTTGGAAGGCTGAAGTGGGAGGATCACCTGAGGTCAGGAGTTCAAGACCAGCCTGACCAACATAGTGAAATCCTGTCTCTACAAAAATACAAAAATTAGCCAGGCATGATGGCAGGTGCCTCTAATCCCAGATACTCAGGAGCCTGAGACAGGAGAATCACTTGAACCTGGGAGGTGGAGATTGTAGTAAGCCAAGATCATGCCATTGCACTCCAGCCTCGGCAACAGAGCGAGACTCTATCTCAAAAATAAATAAATAAATAAATAAAGGACAGGAAAAGAATGAAAGACAAAAAATAGGAAAAGAGAACAAGAGAACAAAGTCAACAAATAGAAATCAGTAACAAATAATTAAACCAACTGTATCAGCAATCATTTTGAGTGTCAATGATCTAAATGCACCAATTGAAACAGATCAACAGAGTGAATTACGAAACAAGATCCAACTATATATTGCATACAACAAGCCCATTTTAAATATAGCCAATCTATATTTAAAGTAAATGGGTAGACAAAGATATATGATGCTAATGCTAGTCACAGAAAGCAAGAATAGCTGTGTTTATTTCAAGCACAGCAGATTTCAGATCAAGGAAAATTATTAGGGATAAAGAAGGGCATCATATAATGATAAAGGGGCCAATTCTCCAAGAAAACCTAACAATATCTAATATGTTTGCACCTGACAGAGAAACAAAATATGTGAGGCAAAATCCATAGAACTTCAAGGAGAAACAGATAAATTTACTAACCATAATTCTACATCTAGATTTTTTTATTTTGTCAAGTTCTATGATATCTTTCTGGTATCAGAAAAGATAAAGGTGCTGGAGTTTCTTTACCAGAAATGGGCAGATTCAGCAGGCAGAAAATCAGTAAGCACATACTTGAACTCAACAGCACCATCAATCCACTTGGATATAATTGACGTATATAGATGACTTCATCCAACAACAGCAGAAGACATATTCTCCAGCTCACATTCATGTGGATAGACCGCATTCTGAGCCATAAAAATAGTACACTAAGCTTTACCAGGCAGTGTTTAACATAGGGTGGACTCTGGCGCCCTCACCTGGTCCTCATGTAGGGTCTTGTTTGGTTATCCCTGCTAGGTAAAGGTGCAAGATAGAAATAAGGGAAGTTCCAATTTGCTTCTCTGCTTTGTGATGTATTTTGGTTTACATGTGCTCAGATGAATAGATGCTTTATTTGTATTATCTATTTTTATCAAAAATAACCTTCACATTTGAATAGGTAAAATTAAAAGTGTCCTACACAAAAATACTGGGTGGAGATCACTATATTAGAACCAACTCCAGAAAACAAGAAAATGGTAGAGTTGACCATCCCTCTCACCCTCCCTACAAAGACACATGTATACTCATTTTTTTGTCAGAGGCATTAAGAGGAAGAAATGCTGTCAATCTAATCACAACCGATCAAAACTTGACAAAACCAAAAAATCTAGAAAGTATCATGAAGACAGTTGAGATAAGCTTTACATTCACAATTGTGAACAGAGAAACTCACTGCGACTGTTCCTTGTCCCTTTAGATGTTAGCTAATGATTGTGTTGTCAAGATGATTAACAAAGCATTTAAAATGTTTATCTGTATTATATTTCTTTTTTCTTCTTCTTTTTTTTTTTTTTTTTTTGAGACGGAGTTTAATTCTTGTTACCCAGGCTGGAGTGCAATGGCGCGATCTCGGCTCATCGCAACCTCCGCCTCCTGGGTTCAGGCAATTCTCCTGCCTCAGCCTCCTGAGTAGCTGAGATTACAGGCACGCGTCACCACTCCCAGCTAATTTTTTGTATTTTTAGTAGAGACGGGGTTTCACCATGTTGACCAGGATGGTCTCAATATCTTGACTTCGTGATCCACCCACCTTGGCCTCCCAAAGTGATGGGATTACAGGCTTGAGCAACCGCGCCCGGCCTATCTGTATTATATTTCAAAAATTTATATTGAGGCATATAATTTATATATTTATGTACATATAAATTGATAACTTTATGCTTTTTGAAAGTGCAAGCTCTTTTTTTTTTTTTTTTTTTTTTTTTTTTTTGAGACAGAGTCTTGCTCTATAGCCAGGCTGGAGTGCCGTGGCGCAATCCTGGCTCACTGCAACTTCTGTTTTCCGGTTTCAAGGAATTCTCCTGCCTCAGCCTCCCAAGTAGCTAGCACAAGAGGCACGCACCACCACGCCCGGCTAATTTTTTGTACTTTTAGTAGAGACGAGGTTTCACCATTGTGGGCAGGATGGTCTCGACGATCTCCTGACCTCGTGATCTGCCCGCCTCGGCCTCCCAAAGAGCTGGGATTACAGGCGTGAGCCACCGCGCCCGGCCGTGCATGCTCTTTTTTAGACTGATAGAGGCGCCTAAGCAAAGCAAGTTCAAGTATATTTCTTAAAGAATATGCAGGGCCGGGCGCGGTGGCTCAAGCCTGTAATCCCAGCACTTTGGGAGGCCGAGGCGGGTGGATCACGAGGTCAAGAGATCGAGACCATCCTGGTCAACATGGTGAAACCCCGTCTCTACTAAAAATACAAGAAAAAATTAGCTGGGCATGGTGGCACGTGCCTGTAGTCCCAGCTACTCGGGAGGCTGAGGCAGGAGAATTGTTTGAACTCAGGAAGTGGAGGTTGAGGTGAGCCGAGATCGCACCATTGCACTCCAGCCTGGGTAACAAGAGTGAAACTCCGTCTCAAAAAAAAAATAAATAAATAAAAATAAAGAATATGCAGAATGGAGAGCAGAGTGT